CTCTTTATGCCCTCATCTATGTCGTTTATGTAGATTGTGAACAGCAGGGGGCCCAACACTGACCCCTGTGGAACACCGCTCGTGACGCTTCCCCACTCTGATTTCTCCCCATTTATGCAAACTCTCTGCTGCCTATTTGTCAACCATGCCTCTATCCAGGAAAAAATTTCTTCTCCTATTCCATGTGCCTTAATTTTCCTCGATAGTCTCTGATGTATAAGTAACATGAAGAAGTATAAGTAACATGAAGAAATATAAGTAACATGAAGAAGTATAAGTAACATGAAGAAGTATAAGTAACATGAAGAAGTATAAGTAACATGAAGAAGTATAAGTAACATGAAGAAGTATAAGTAACATGAAGAAGTATAAGTAACATGAAGAAGTATAAGTAACATGAAGAAGCATAAGTAACATGAAGAAGTATAAGTAACATGAAGAAGTATAAGTAACATGAAGAAGTATAAGTAACATGAAGTATAAGTAACATGAAGAAGTATAAGTAACATAAAGAAGTATAAGTAACATGAAGGAGTATAAGTAGCATGAAGAAGTATAAGTAACATGAGGGAGTATAAGTAACATGAGGGAGTATAAGTAAGATGAAGTATAAGTAGCATGAAGAAGTATAAGTAACATGAAGAAGTATAAGTAACATGAAGAAGTATAAGTAACATGAAGAAGTATAAGTAACGTGAAGAAGTATAAGTAACATGAAGAAGTATAAGTAACATGAGGGAGTATAAGTAACATGAAGAAGTATAAGTAACATGAAGAAGTATAAGTAACATGAAGAAGTAAAAGTAACATGAAGAAGTATAAGTAACATGAAGAAGTATAAGTAACATGAAGAAGTATAAGTAACATGAAGAAGTATAAGTAACATGAAGAAGTATAAGTAACATAAAGAAGTATAAGTAACATAAAGAAGTATAAGTAACATAAAGAAGTATAAGTAACATAAAGAAGTATAAGTAACATGAAGAAGTATAAGTAACATGAAGGAGTATAAGTAACATGAAGAAGTATAAGTAACATGAAGAAGTATAAGTAACATGAAGAAGTATAAGTAACATGAAGAAGTATAAGTAACATGAAGAAGTATAAGTAACATGAAGAAGTATAAGTAACATGAAGAAGCATAAGTAACATGAAGTATAAGTAACATGAAGAAGCATAAGTAACGTGAAGAAGTATAAGTAACATGAAGAAGTATAAGTAACATGAAGAAGTATAAGTAACATGAAGAAGTATAAGTAACATGAAGGAGTATAAGTAACATGAAGAAGTATAAGTAACATGAAGAAGTATAAGTAACATGAAGAAGTATAAGTAACATGAAGTATAAGTAACATGAAGAAGTATAAGTAACATGAAGGAGTATAAGTAACATGAAGAAGTATAAGTAACATGAAGAAGTATAAGTAACATGAAGAAGTATAAGTAACATGAAGTATAAGTAACATGAAGAAGTATAAGTAACATGAAGGAGTATAAGTAACATGAAGAAGTATAAGTAACATGAAGAAGTATAAGTAACATGAAGAAGTATAAGTAACATGAAGTATAAGTAACATGAAGAAGTATAAGTAACATGAAGTATAAGTAACATGAAGAAGTATAAGTAACATGAAGAAGTATAAGTAACATAAAGAAGTATAAGTAACATGAGGGAGTGTAAGTAACATGAAGAAGTATAAGTAATATGAAGTATAAGTAACATGATGTATAAGTAACATGAAGTATAAGTAACATGAAGGAGTATAAGTAACATGAAGTATAAGTAACATGAAGAAGTATAAGTAACATGAAGAAGTATAAGTAACATGAAGGAGTATAAGTAACATGAAGTATAAGTAACATGAAGTATAAGTAACATGAAGAAGTATAAGTAACATAAAGAAGTATAAGTAACATGAAGTATAAGTAACATAAAGAAGTATAAGTAACATAAAGAAGTATAAGTAACATGAAGTATAAGTAACATGAAGAAGTATAAGTAACATGAAGAAGTATAAGTAACATGAAGAAGTATAAGTAACATGAAGAAATATAAGTAACATGAAGTATAAGTAACATGAGGGAGTATAAGTAAGATGAAGTATAAGTAACATGAAGAAGTATAAGTAACATGAAGAAGTATAAGTAACATGAAGAAGTATAAGTAACATGAAGAAGTATAAGTAACATGAAGAAGTATAAGTAACATGAAGAAGTATAAGTAACATGAAGAAGTATAAGTAACATGAAGAAGTATAAGTAACATGAAGAAGTATAAGTAACATGAAGAAGTATAAGTAACATGAAGAAGTATAAGTAACATGAAGAAGTATAAGTAACATGAAGAAGTATAAGTAACATGAGGGAGTATAAGTAACATGAAGAAGTATAAGTAACATGAAGAAGTATAAGTAACATGAAGAAGTATAAGTAATATGAAGAAGTATAAGTAACATAAAGAAGTATAAGTAACATGAAGGAGTATAAGTAAGATGAAGTATAAGTAACATGAAGAAGTATAAGTAGCATGAAGAAGTATAAGTAACATGAGGGAGTATAAGTAAGATGAAGTATAAGTAACATGAAGAAGTATAAGTAACATGAGGGAGTATAAGTAAGATGAAGTATAAGTAACATGAAGAAGTATAAGTATCATGAGGGAGTATAAGTAAGATGAAGTATAAGTAACATGAAGAAGTATAAGTAACATGAGGGAGTATAAGTAAGATGAAGTATAAGTAACATGAAGAAGTATAAGTAACATGAGGGAGTATAAGTAAGATGAAGTATAAGTAACATGAAGAAGTATAAGTAACATGAAGAAGTATAAGTAACATGAAGAAGTATAAGTATCATGAAGGAGTATAAGTAACATGAAGAAGTATAAGTAACATGAAGAAGTATAAGTAACATGAAGAAGTATAAGTAACATGAAGAAGTATAAGTATCATGAAGGAGTATAAGTAACATGAAGAAGTATAAGTAACATGAAGAAGTATAAGTAACATGAAGTATAAGTAACATGAAGGAGTATAAGTAACATGAAGAAGTATAAGTAACATGAAGAAGTATAAGTAACATGAAGAAGTATAAGTAACATGAAGAAGTATAAGTAACATGAAGTATAAGTAACATGAGGGAGTATAAGTAAGATGAAGTATAAGTAACATGAAGAAGTATAAGTAACATGAAGTATAAGTAACATGAGGGAGTATAAGTAAGATGAAGTATAAGTAACATGAAGGAGTATAAGTAACATGAAGTATAAGTAACATGAAGTATAAGTAACATGAAGTATAAGTAACATAAAGAAGTATAAGTAACATGAAGTATAAGTAACATGAAGAAGTATAAGTAACATGAAGGAGTATAAGTAACATGAAGAAGTATAAGTAACATGAGGGAGTATAAGTAACATAAGGAAGTATAAGTAACATAAGCAAGTATAAGTAACATGAAGAAGTATACGTAACTTAAAAAAGTATAAGTGACATGAGTGAATATAAGTAACATGAGGGAGTATAAGCAACACGAAAAAGTATGAATGACATAAGTCTGAGGATTACACATCATCTCTATATGGATGGTAAGACTTTTTTTGTTTACTGAGATCACTCGGTACAGCTCAGGTCTCCACATCACGCGCTACAGTTCCTGTACTTAAACTGTGTAGAGTTACGGGAGGCTGCGACTGCAGTGTAGATGGGAAACTGGTGTATATACAGGGGATACAAAAAATGTTGAAAATATGTAACTCATTCAGATTTTCGTAGCAAATTATTCAGGTTGGATAAATTTGGAAAGAATGTAGAAAGGCGCTGATGTAGAAAGAGTTATAGAAGAGTGAAACATAGTGCCAAGGAGTGCCACTGAAGCAGGCACTCTCAGTATCTTTCAAATATCTTAAAGACATGGGTAATATTAATTACATAAGTAGGTGTAGCGCAGTGTACTGCAGTAATAATGTCCTTCCATTTCAAATTATCTCTATTCTGAGCTATATCCACGTAAAGTTCGTAATTTCGATCTTCCACTTGTTCAGATATACCAGACCTGTACCTGTGTTGAGTTCTGAGAGTGTTTGTTCTCCCAGAGCCCCGGCCAGGCTCGTCTGGTGCTTGCCTGCTCAACCAGGCTGGTATACAAGGTGTGTTTGTCAGGTGATGATCCACACCAGGAGAAGACACTAAGCCAGGGTTTCTGTTCTCTATGAACTAGTATCAAGGAGCTTGTGAGAGAGAAAAACACTGAAAACTTGGGTAAGAACACTGCATGACTACAGCAAGTATGTCGGTCCTTACTAGGCTGGTCAGTGGTCACACTACATGTCCAGTTACAACTACTATTGTACCTATACAACCTAAGGAACAAAAAGGCACAATACCGTGACTGGAACAATACACAAATAACCCGCTCATACGAGAGAGAGAGAGGCTCTTACGACGTTTCGGTCCGACTTGGACCATTACAAAGGCAATGGCCCAAGTCGGACCGACAGGTCATCGTAAGCTCCTCTCTCGTGTGTGCGGGTTGTTTATATACTGCCCAGCCTATTTTCAAAGATACTCCCGGGTAGATAATTATGGTCCAGGACGGAGGGAAGCATTGCCTAGGCCTAGAGCCTCATCTCTGAGCTGTGATGGGCCACCAGCAGCAACAGCCTGGTTGACCGGGCAAGCACCAGATGAGCATGGCCCATGGCCGGGCCCCGAGAGTAGTAAGAGTCACGAAACTCATAAAAGGTGCATCAAAGATAAAAGGTGGGTCCAGGACGGAGCCAAACATCTGAGTTGCCAGTTGTTTCAGCCACATTATTGTGGCTGGTATATATTAAATTTCTTTCCATTCAGAATATCATAAAAAGGTGTTGAGTTGTCTCCCTAAGTACATTATGGTGTATATTGTGGTGTACACTGTGTTGTACACGTCTTGTACTCAGTATTGTACTGCTATGCTGCTGTAAACTAACATGACTGAGGTGAAGATATTGAAACAAGACAGACATGTCACAGCAGAATTTTAATGCAAACTGATATGCAAAGGGCGACTTCAAGCCAGTACATATAAAAATTACATATATATTTATATATATTTATATATATATATATAGCACATATAGACGTAATCATTCAAAAGCTAAAAATATGTACACTCTTAAATGTGAAAGCCTTTTTACACGAATATACATTTTCTTACACTGAAAAATAAATCAACATAATTACACTGATATAATACAAGTGTTGCACTGCGTCTCCAACAGTCGAGGAATCTTACTACAGATCACTTGACTTAGTATGACATCTTTTGGCAAACTGTTTTGCGGGGAACGTCTGAGTGTTCTACGCAATAATACACTGAAATACTTCCATGAAAATACTGTTAGGTTACGAATCTGGCGTCGTGCTGGGGACGACGCCAGTCACTACACTGCTTCGTAGACGATCGTGGCGTTGTGCTGGGAAGAACACCAGTCACTACACTGCTTCGTAGACGATCGTGGCGTTGTACTGGGAACGACGCCAGTCACTACACTGCATCGTAGACTATCGTGGCGTCGTGCTGGGAACAACACCAGTCACTACACTGCATCGTAGACAATCGTGGCGTCGTGCTGGGAACGACGCCAGTCACTACACTGCATCGTAGAAGAATGGATACAAGTCATCACAGGAAACGGTGTGGGCACTGATCTTTTTTTAGCACCCCACAAGTGCCCACCTCGAGGGGCATGTGTCACTGTCCTTTTGGGAAGAGAGGGCCACCCTGGGTCAAACAATATTTTTTTTCCCACTGTTATGGCACAGGGCCACGTTTGGTCTATCCACTGCCACTGTCTGTATTACAGTGATGATGCCTGTTCACACATTACACGGGGTACAAAGGTGTTACCACTGTCACATATGGTGCAGAGGTGTAAACACTGGTTACCTGTTGTGAAAGGTTACCACAAATACACCATTAACATACCACCTACTGCACCTTCAGGAGCGTGGATCACCTGCGTCACCTGGTGGGGGCTCAGAGCTCGTAGGGAAGGATCTCGTCCCTTGGATCAACGTAGAGGTGAGGTGTGGTGACGCTGTGGCAGGTGGAGGGTGCCCCACTCACCACACTGGCCTGACAGCCCCCCATGGTGCTCTGGGCCCCAGTTAGGTAGGCCCCCTCCTCCCTCTCCTGTCATACGTGCGACAGTGGCAGTGTCTTGTTGACGGGCCCCATGTGTGACGCCACGCTGTGGGTAGTGCCCTGGGCACTCATGGGAGGGGGAGGGAAGGAGGCACAGGAGGGCGCCGCCGCCTGCTTGATGGGTCGCGTCGGGTACTCATAGGTGTGCCCGTGTGCCCCTGGGCACAGCCGCTGGTAGAACCGTCGCCACGAGTCCAGCGTCTTGCCCGACCAGATCCAGAACCCGGCGGTGATGCCCACGACCAGCGTCATGAAATAGCGCAGCATCAGCACAGAGTAGTCTGGCCGCTGCCCCTGGTGGGCGCTACATGGGCACACTAGTGAGTCTTGCCAGTTAGACACGTACAGCTGCTCGTAGAAGTAGCAACCAATGACGATGGTGGCGGGAACGGTGTAAAGGACACTGAACACGCCGATTCTGATCATCAACTTCTCCAGTTTCTCAGTCTTGGTCCTGCCTTGCTGCTTGATCACGTTGCGGATGCGGAAGAGACTGACGAAGCCGGCCAGGAGGAAGCAGGAGCCAAGTACCAGGTAGATGAAGAGAGGCGCCAGTACGAAACCTCGCAGGTTCTCGATGTTTTGGTTGCCCACGTAACAGATCCCGGCCACTGAGTCTCCGTCCACGGCTGCCATGACTAGTACAGTAATGCTCTGGATGGTAGGGATGAGCCAGGCCGCCAGGTGGAACCAGGTGGAGTAACCTGCGATGGCTTCATTGCCCCACTTGAGACCAGCAGCCAGGAACCAGGTGAAGGCCAGCACCACCCACCAGATGCTCGAAGCCATTCCGAAGAAATATACAAGCAGGAAGACGGTGGTGCAGAGACCGGAGCCGTAAGGGTTGTGACGCACCAGGTGGTAGTTATAGATGATCATTTCACCGTCACACGACACCTCAGAGTGACCAGCCACCAGCCGGATGATGTAGCCTACGGAAACCATGAAGTAGCACCCGCTGAGGAAGATGATGGGACGCTCCGGGTACTTGAAACGATCCATATCGATGAGGAATGTTGTGATGGTGGTGAGCGTGGAGACACAACACAGTATAGCCCAGGTGGCGATCCAGAACTGTGCGAAAGTTCTCTCGTCTTGGCTAAAATAGACACCCTCGCAGGGCAGTGCACAGTCGTGCACCTCCCCAACCTTAAACGACTCGTTGCGGTTTTTCCCAAACTGACGGTAAGTGGCGTCTAGTTTGACGAGTGGGAACTGACAGGAGCACTGACACGCCCCCTGGCGGGTAGTCTTGGGGCAGAATTTGGAATTCTTTCCGCGACACTGACTGTCTAAATTCACCACAGTCTTCGTAGTTTTTTTCTCTGGCGCTGAACCGTTACGTTTGTCCATACACAGGTGGACAGAGTCGCCATACTCAGGCAGTTTGGAACAGTCCATGCGCTCCGGCCAACCAAACCCATACTGGTGCATGATAGGCGCACAACCAGACTTGGCTCGCTCACACACACTCCTGCAGGCGGGCAGAGGCTTGTCGTAGTCCTCAATACAGATGGGAGCGTAGACGGAGCACAGGAAGAACTTAAGGTCCTGGGAGCACATGATCTCCACCAGCGGCCAGAACTGGTGCACCTCCAGCCCTGCCTCGTCCTGGCTGTCGTGGTTGAACTGGTTGGGCATGGAGGTGTTGTTGTAGCCGATGCCACGACACATGGGTATGGTTATTTCCTCACAGCGAGACTCCTTGGCTGTCTCGCCCTCTGTGGCCCCCGCCAGCGAGGCCACCAGGAGGATGAAGGAGGATAAACATACTGAGTTGCTCATTGTGGTGCTGTGAGGACTGCCCAGGCCTCACCCCAGCACATAGTCACTGCCACCTCACTGCTCCGCCATGCTCCACACCCACCATTACTCACATAAACAAGGGGCCGCCACGGACCGGCATCGATCCACGTCCACTCACGAGGGGAGTCGAGTGTACACTGAGCGTGCGTGCCTCCCTCTACCAACACACTGAGGGGACGCACCTTCCTACCTCTCACTCTCTCTCACCCTCTCACATTTCACCACTAAACTCCACATTTTTCACTTGTTTTCCTTGACCTGACCTAACCTCAGGGGTGAGACTGAGGTCACTAGACCCTGACAATGGCCCTGGAGCAGAGGACAGGTCTGGGGACCTTCTGTCTTGGAGTCTGTACGTAGCTGAGACGGCAGACAGAAGGCGACGCCCTCTCAGCCAATCAGCACAGGCGCAGCTGCCGGACTGGCCAATCACCGGCCTCGTCTCATCGCCACACGACCCTCCAGGTGACCTGCAACAAAAATCTCATGTCAAGTCAGGTCACATTCTACCTGGAGTGAATGAGGCAGGAGCGGTGTGTGGAATGTGGAGGTGGTGAGGCAGGTAGAGGCGACCACACAGCAAAGTACTATTGACCAAGTGTATGTATATATGTGTGGTGTCTGTTCGTCTTATTGATCAACTAAACACACACACACACACACACACACACACACACACGTTCACACAGACGTACACATACAATCACTACACTAATACCAGTATCACAACAATCACTAACCTTGACGATGCTGGAATCTCAGGTTTCATCTCTCCTGGCGTCTTATTCCACCTTAACCTACCTCCTACCCACACAGCCTCACCCTCCTACCCACAACCTCACCCTCTTAACCCACACACCTAACCCTCCTACCCACACACCTCACATCCTACCCACAACACCACACCTCCTACCCACAACCTCACCCTCTACCCACACACCTCACCTCACTACCCACTACACCTCACCCTCCTACCCACACACCTCACCCTCCTACTCCAACCTCACCCTCTTACCCAATCACCTACCCTCTTACCCACCACCTCACCCTCCTACCCACATACCTCACCCTCTACCCACACACCTCACCTCTACCCACACACCTCACCCTCTTACCCACACACCTCACCCTCTACCCACACACCTCACCCTCTTACCCACACACCTCACCCTCCTACCCACACACCTCACCCTCTTACCCACACACCTCACCCTCCTACCCACACCTCACCTCCTACCCACACCTCACCCTCCTACCCACACACCTCACCCTCTTACCCACACACCTCACCCTCCTACCCACACACCTCACCCTCTACCCACACACCTCACCTTTACCCCCACACCTCACCCTCTTACCCACACACCTCACCCTCTTACCCACACCTCACCCTCTTACCCACACACCTCACCTCTACCCACCACACCTCACCCTCTTACCCACACACCTCACCCTCCTACCCACACACTCACTCTCCTACCCACACCTCACCCTCCTACCCACCCTCACCCTTTACACACCCTCACCCTCCTACCCACACACTCGCCCTCCACCACACACCTCAGCATTTACCCCACACCTCACCCTCCTACCCACACGCCTACCCTCCTACCCACACACCTCACCCTCCTACCCACACACCACCCTCTACTCACACACTCTACCCTCTACCACACACCTCACTCTCCTACCCACACACTACACCTCCTACCACACACTCACACTCCTGCCACACACCTCACCCCTGCCACACACCTCACCCTCCTGCACACACCTCACCCTCCTACCCACACACCTCACCCTCCTACCCACACACCTCCCTTCTACCAACACCTCACCCTCCTACCCACACACCTCACCCTCCTACCCACATCCACCCTCCTACTCACGCACCTCACCCTCCTACCCACACACCTCACCCTCTGCTCACACACCTCACCTCCTACCACACATCTCACCCTCCTACCCACACACCTCACCCTCCTACCCACACATCTCACCTCCTACCCACACACCTCACCCTCCTACCCACAACCCACCTCCTACCCACACCCTCACTCCTTCCCACACCCTCGACCTCCTACCACACACTTGCCCCCTGCTCACACCTGACCTCCACCCACACACCTCACCCTCCTACCCGCACACCTCACCCTCTACCCACCACTCACCTCCTGCTCACTCACCTCACCCTCCTACCCACACACCTCACCCTCCTACCCACACACCTCACCCTCCTACCCACATACCTCACCCTCCTGCTCACACACCTCACACTCCTACCACACACCTCACCCTCCTACCCACACACCTCACCCTCCTACCCACACACTTCACTCTCCTTCCCACACACCTCACCCTTCTACCACACACCTCACCCTCCTACCCACACACCTCACCCTCCTGCTCACACACCTCACCCTCCTACCCACACACCTCACCCTCCTACCCACACACCTCACCCTCCTACCCACACACCTCACCCTCCTACCCACACACCTCACCCTCCTGCTCACACACCTCACACTCCTACTACACACCTCACCCTCCTACCCACACACCTGACTCTCCTACCCACACACCACACCCTCCTGCTCACTCACCTCGCCCTCCTATCCACACACCTCACCCTCCTACCCACACACCTCACCCTCCTACCCACACACCTCACCCTCCTGCTCACACACCTCACGCTCCTACCACACAACTCACCCTCCTACCCACACACCTCACTCTCCTACCCACACACCTTACCTCCTGCCCACTCACCTCGCCCTCCTATCCACACACCTCACCCTCCTACCCACACACCTCACCCTCCTGCTCACACACCTCACCCTCCTACCAACACACCTCACCCTCCGGCTCACCCACCTCGCCCTCCTACCCACACACCTCACTCTCCTACCCACACACCTCACCCTCCTGCTCACACACCTAACCCTCCTACCCACACACCTCACCCTCCTACCCACACACCTCACCATCCTACCCACACACCTCACCCTCCTTCCCACACACCTCACCCTCCTGCTCACACACCTAACCCTCCTACCCACACACCTCACCCTCCAACCTACACACCTCACCCTCCTACCCATACACCTCACCCTCCTACCCACACACCTCACCCTCCTGCTCACCCACCTCGCCCTCCTACCACACACCTCACTCTCCTACCCACACACCTCACCCTCCTACCCACACACCTCACCCTTCTACCCACACACCTCACCCTCCTGCTCACACACCTCACCCTCCTACTCACACACCTCACCCTCCAACCTACACACCTCACCCTCCTACCCATACACCTCACCCTCCTACCCACACACCTCACCCTCCTGCCCACACACCTCACCCTCCTGCTCACACACCTCATCCTCCTGCTTACAGACCTCACGATCCTACCCACACACATCACCCTCCTACCAACACACCTCACCCTCCTACCTGGAGTCTACCTGGAGGGCATTCCGGGGATCAACGCCCCAGCGTCCCGGTCCACGACCAGGCCTCCCTGTGGATCAGGGCCTGATCAACCAGGCTGTTACTGCTGGCCGCACGCACTCCAACGTACGAACCACAGCCCGGTTGATCCGGCACCGTCTTTAGGTATCTGTCCAGCTCCCTCTTGAAGACAACCAGGGGTTCACTGGTAATGCCCCTTATTGCTGGTGAGAGGCTGTTGAACAGTCTTGGGCCCCGGACACTTATTGTGTTTTCTCTTAGTGTACCAGTGACGCCCCTACTTTTCACTGGGGGTATGTTGCATCGCCTGCCAAGTCTTTTGCTTTCGTATGGAGTGTTTGCTGTGTGCATATTAGGGACCAGTCCCTCCTGAATCTTCCAGGTGTAGATTATGATATATCTCTCTCGCCTGCGCTCCAGTGAGTACAAGTCAAGTGCTTCCAGGCGCTCCCAGTAGTTAAGGTGTTTGATAGAACTTATACGTGCAGTAAAGGTTCTCTGTACATTCTCTAGTTCTGCAATTTCACCTGCCTTGAATGTGGATGTTAATGTACAGCAATATTCCAGCCTAGAGAGAACAGGTGATTTAAAAATGATCATCACTGGCTTAGCATCTCTTGTCTTGAATGTTCTCATTATCCATCCTAGCAGATGTGATAGTGGCACTGTTGTCGTCCTGCCCAACACACCTCACCCTCCTACCCACACACCTCACCCTCCTACCCACACACCTCAGCCTCCTGCCCACACATCTCACCCTCCTGCCCACACACCTCACCCTTCTCCTCACACACCTCGCCCTCCTGCCCACACACCTCACGTTCCTACCCACACACCTCACGTTCCTACCCCACACACCTCACTCTCCTGCCCACATACCTCACCCTCCTGCCCACACACCTCACCTTCCTACCAACACACCTCACCCTCCTACCCACACGCTTTACCCTCCTGCCCACACACCTTACCCTCATTACCTACCCTCCTGCCCAACCCTACCCTCCTTCTCTACCCTTCCCTACTACCCTACCCTACATCCCGGCCCTATCCTCCTTCCTTGCCTGCTCTCCTTCCCTCCTACCTTACCTACCCTCCATCCCTGCCCAACCCTCCCCAACCCCTCCATCCCTGCCCTACCCTCCCCCAACCCCCCATCACTGCCCTACCCTCCCTCACCCCTCCTTCACGATGGTGTACCGTCAGTTTGCACTAACAGCCGCAGTACAGGGCTGTGAAAATTTAAGTTAATGTTGTAAGTCGTATTAGAGATGTTGAGGAGGTGGCCATTGTTGTGTGTGGGAGGTGATGGTGCTGTGAAGGATACTTCTGTTGCTGCTGCTACTGTTTCTGCTGCTACTGTTGCTGCTAATACTGCTGATGCTACTGTTACTACTAATAATGCTGCTGGTACTGTTGAGCTGTTGCTGTTGCTGCTGCTGCTACTGTTGCTGCTTATACAGCTGCTGTTGGTACTAATACTGCTGCTGTTGCTGCTAATACTGTTGTGCTGCTGCTACTGTTTTGCTGTTGTTGCTGCTATTGTTGCTGCACACTCTTTTGTTGTTGTTATTGTTGTTGCTGTTTTCAACGTACCGTTGCTGCTGTTGGTGCTGCTTTCATCGTTACTGTTGATGCTGTTGTGCTACTTTCACTGCTGCTGATGTTGCTGTTTTACTGTTGCTGCTGTTTTACTATTGCTGCTGTTGCATTAGCTGCTACTGTTATTGTTGCTGTTATTGCTGCTGTCTTCACTGTTACTGCTGCCTTCACTGTTGCTGCTGCCTTTACTGTTGCTGCTGCCTTCACTGTTACTGCTGCCTTCACTGTTGTTGCTGCATTCACTGTTGTTGCTACCTTCACTGTTGTTGCTACCTTCACTGTTGCTGCTGCCTTCACTATTACTGCTGCCTTCACTGTTGTTGCTGCCTTCAGTGTTGCTGCCTTCACTGTTGTTGCTGCCTTTACCGTTGCTGCTGCCTTCACTGTTGTTGCTACCTTCACTGTTGTTGCTGC